TTTGTGTGATCGAGTTGAACAGGATTTATTGTCAAGTAGGTGGCACTAATGTTGGAAACCAAAGTGAATCGTCCTTTTGAGATAACGCAAGATGCGTTTGACAACCATGAGATGGAATGGCAAACATGATGAACAACAAAGGCAATGTCTGGACGAGTGAAGGCCAAGTACTGTAGCACCACGACCAAGCTGTGATAATGAGAAGGGTTGGAGTAAACGGGGTCAGGGGAAGAAATAGGGGAAAGCTTGTTGACTAGAGATGTACTAACTGGTTTAGCATAAAATAGACCGCTTTGGGTTAAAATGTCCAGGTATACTTTGATTGAGATAGAAAAAATCCATCTTAAATGGAAGTGATAGTAATACCAAGGAAATAATGTACATGATCCAAATTAGTCATGGAAAACTCAGATTTGAGCAAAGTTGTGACTCGAGTTAACAATGACCGAGAGGATGTCATGATAATAATGTCATAGACATATAAAAGGAGAACAGTAATGCTACACTGACCAAATTTTGAGATCAAATTAAGAGAACAAATGACATGGCAGTTGACTTGGATTCCTTTATTTGGTATCATGTTATTTGAACCCCAATAAAGACTCCAAATAAAATGCTTCCATGTCATTTGAGCTCTTAATTTGGTTCAAAAATTTGATCAGCATAGCATTACTCAAATGAGAATTATCATGTTTGTGGCGGTTTGAAAAATGAACATTGAAGAATCAAATTGACTATAGCAAAAACCTTGCTGATAGCAAAAACCAGTGAAATGTTGAAACCAGGCACGTGGTGCTTATAAATTGCTTTATTTAACCAACAGACATGATGAGAATAGTGCGGGTGGACAAAGCCATTGGGTTGTTTCATGTAAACGGTTTCAGTCAATGAACCATGCAAAAATCCATTCTTGACGTCATGTTGATGAACTGGTCAATTACGGGACAAAGCAAGTAATAGGATTGTCCGGATTGTAGTGTGTTTTACTGCCGGACTATAAGTTTCATCATAATCAATGCCAAGTTTTTTACTAAATCGCTAACAAGACATGCCATGTAACGTTCTAATGAACCATCGGACCTCTATTTGATTTTGTAAAACCACTTGGAACCAATTATATTGGTAGCAAATGTCAATAGGACCAATGACCAGGTATTATTGTGAAGCGAATCAGTATATTCGTCAAGCATGGCTTGACACCAATGAGCAGTTTTAAATGCTTCACTGAAGTTTTGAGGTTCAGATGGAATTGGGGAAGAATCACAGGAATGAAACCAAGAGGGTCAGATATGGGGCCGATGGGTACCATCTTTGGTGCAAGTGACCATTGGGTAAGTTGACAAGGCTAGAGCTAATGCCAATGTGTTAGGAGGATAGAGAGTATCTAGGATGTCATTGGAAGATTAGAAGAAGAAAGATTGGGAGTTATCCAGAGAGATTGAGGTGAAGCGGGTGATTAACAAAAGGAAGATTCCAATTTGTAGAAGGCCAAAGGATTTGATTAATGAGGAAAAGATTTTGAACTATCTGAAAGCGAGGATAAGGGTTGAGAAGATTTTGGATTACTGAGTAACTCCGAAGAAGTATAAGATGATGATTGAGACGGAGAGAAAACTGGAGAAACCGCTAAAGAAGATCAGTTTTGTTGAATGCGTGGATGAGACGAAAACAGCGGGTGATGACTGGTATGAGATTTGGGGGATAAGACAAGATCTAGGTTATGTGAGTTTGGGATTTCGGATGAAGGAAACAAAACTGAACTGACCTGTGTGAGAGAAAAGAGGTATGTGGGTTGACGGAAATTAAAAGGGAAAGAGTCCAACTGAAAAGAAGTTACGTTAAGATGAGGATAAGTGAATTGTCCCTCATTGAACATGACGTGAAACTACATTTGGGATCAAAACACCTGTGCACCCTTTGGCTTGTTTGGTATGTTTTTTGGGAAGAGTTTGGATTGATTTGTTTAAATTCGAGTTTGATCTGAAGATAAGATTTAAAGATGAGGTTCAACATTTAATGTTGTCCATACTCATATTTGGTATAGGCAAGGATATATGACTATTATGATAATATATTTATATATAAATAACTATTATGCCTCTTAACCAATTTAATCCAAACACGAGTATGGATATATGGGCGGTATAAATGTCATTTGAATGTGAAACCCCCAAACCAACATATGAAACCCATGAACATAGGTTTCATGACCGGGCCATAAGTGGGCCAGATTTCAAAACCTAGGTTAAATGGATAGTTACCAAACATGGGTTTAAGGGGATTTAGTCCCCAACCCATGTCTCAAAACCCCCCCAAACCCACATACCAAACAGCCCCTTGGGATGTTTGGATGGTGGGATATAGGAGGTTAAACACATGTTGGATTGGACAAAAATAAAGTGGGTTCCATTTATCCCATTTCAAAATCCCATTCCTATCTATCCCAAACCCAGTAGGCTTGTTTGGTAGATGTATTATGAGGGAATTAATTATTAAATTGTACTATTTTTTATTTAATCAGGCCTAATACTTTATTTGATAAGTAAATTTAATACTGTATTAATTTCAAAAACGTATACTTATCGTATATTTTTTATACGGTAGGCTTGTATTATGGAAGTTTTTTAATACCACCAAAAGAGGTGGTATTATAATCCAACTCAAACGTATTATTCTACACATTTACTATTATAACCCTCCAAGTGATAAATTAAAGTTGTCATTAATGTAACAAACACTGATTGAGGGTATTTTTGTTAATTCAACATTAATACGATGAAATAACTCTCTAACCAAACAACTCATTGGATTAAATAACTATTATCCAACGCGTATATTGTGTATTGTCAAACATTAGATAAAATTACGTATTATTCTAATACCATATTTAATTTTGTCTTTAATCCATCTGTATTGTATTAGACCGTATTATTTTATCTAATCCATCCAATTTTAATACAACAACCAAATGAGCCCAGTGTCTACAGTAACTTCTATCCCATGTGTTTGGGTTATTTGTAAGCTACTAGGAGGGTGGGTTAAATTTTTTCTCAAATGGGATAGGTCAAGTTATTATGATTTTGCCCCCAAAAATTTGAAGACTAGGGTTTTCATTTTTATCATGTGATCTCCTTCAACCTCACTTTCGCACCTTTTGTCTCGCCGTTTCACAAGAGCAGCTACCATGAGCCAGGCCACCAGTCATTGCCAGCCCAGACACCGCCAACCCACGTTACTAGCTCATGACACTAGCCAAAGCCAACCCATGCCATTAGCCACCACTAGCCCACGCCACCAAGGAAGGGTGTTTAAACATAGATCTACATCTTTAACACCGACAACATATCAGAATCCAAACTCTTCTATGGCGCCGATGACCATGCTTCTCAAACATCTTATTCTTGTTTTTTTTTTTTTGCTCTTTAGCTTACTTGACAAGTTATGCCTGATGCCTTTGATCTTGGTTTGAAACTATATATGAATTTCTTTGAACATAATAAATATACTCATTTGTATTTGGATTCATTAGGCAAATTTGTTTTCTATGAACAAATAAATGTGCTCTTAAATGGGTTTTTGAAGTTAGTAATTCCATTGATTATACAAAGATAATCAAAGAATGTAAATAGACAAGTTGTAATAGCTTGAATCATAAATTATGAAAACTATTGAGATTTTTTTGGGGCNTCACAGAAAGAAGATTTTTCTGAATTTGTGGAACAATTAAAATATATCGAAGAACAAAGGAAGAGTGTGGAGAATGAAGGATAGAAGTACCAGTATGAGTAATTGGTAAAAGATTACCATTACCAACTTGCACATTGTCAAGACTAGTGTAGGAAGAACAAGAAGATAAATTACCGGTGTGACGCATCTTATGGGAAGAAGCACCAGTATCGGTATACCGATTTGGATCAAAACACTCAAGGGTGGAAGGAGGGGGAAAAGAGTAGTTAGTAGCGGTGTTGGTAACATATACTTTGGAATGATGTGGACACTCGCAGGCAGAGTGATAAAATTCCAAACACAATTGGCACTAAATACGTGGATAAATTGGGGAAAAAGGTAGATGATACGAAGGTGGTGGGTGCGAGGGCCAAGAACCCAAAATGGAAGAACCAAAACCTCAGTGAGGTTGGCTATGAGAGAAGGAAGGTGTATGGGAATAATGTGTATCATGGGGCTGATTATTTCGATTGGAACCATGTTTACCATGACCACGGGCAAAAGAATGATCATTACGATGATCATGACGAGAATTGTGGGAATGTGGTCAACTGTGTCCCCTACCTCTGCTATACCTTGAAGTATGAGCACTATGGTTGGCAATGAAGGTGGTGTATGAGAAGGAGGAGTTCGCAGTGGTGGCCATTTGTTGAGAAAAGGTATAA